AGTGCCTCCTTATTAACTAACTTTCATGCTACTTTAAAAAAACATCCATTTTCAACAAGCTGCTTCATTTTCTAAATTTTATTCTAATATCAAGTAAGTATTTAGTTCTTTTGGAAAAGAGACATAGGTCTCAGTAGAAAAATCACAGTAAGATAAAAGTAAACAAACAGGAAAAAGAAATTTTCTTTCAGTTGTTAGTCACTTTATTTGCTTTTGAAAGACAAACAAATTATAATGTGTAAAGCTCAAGCATCTAATATATTTATCCAGTTTGTTTTACAAAGACTTTCAAATGTTAGAAAATTAAAAGACAGCCCCACATGAGTGGTGAAAGAAAGRAAGGAAGGGATGAAGAGAAATAGTTTTTGAGGAGAGGAAAAGACAAGGCCTCTTCCAGTATTTAAGAATGTAGCAAACATCTTGCCATTAAAATGATAAATTCTGAGTAATTTATACTGAACACACTAAAACTACAGATTTGAGTCAGCTTGATCAAAATAACCCACAGATATAGCATTTGCTTTTTCCTTTTATGGGCAGATTCTTGACCTTTGGAGCACATGCTTTATTACAGCCAAACTCTTTGAAGCATGAACAAAATTATGAGTTTATTTAAAATAGGGCCTCAGTCTATTGAAGCATGTGACTTATGTTAGGAAGGACAAACCACCACCTCAAAGAACTGTACCACCAGTTAAGTCAATGCTCCAGAACTATCATGAACTTCTGCCTTTTTCCAGTCAAGTTTCACTGATATTTCTGCACCTTGGCACAATGGAGACTAAAGGAGGTAGGGGGAGAAGAAGAAAGTAATTTAAAGGAGCTGCTGAATTCATATTCAATTGGACACAGATAAGGCTATTACTAAAGAAGGAATGCCTAACATCCAAAGTTCCTGTTCACTACTTGAAGCTTGCAGAAGTAGTAGTTGTGTAATAAAGTACTGGCTTTGAAAAGAAAAGAAGCCTGGGGCCGAGGTCTGGAATGAATTCTTAGCCTGACAGGGACTTTTTAGGAACCTGGACAAGCAGCTGCACTGCCTGTATGTCACATTCTCACCCAGAGGATACTTTTTTGTCCCTGTCAGATTTTCTCTCTTCCATCTCAGCTCTAAGTGCTTGAGGTCAGGCCCAAACTTCCCTAACAGCAATGAACACAATGAGACCTTGATCTTGGTGGGGATTGCTAGGGAATACAAGCAGTAAAAAAAAAAAACTAATGATGTCAGCATTTCAGTGCAGGATGTGGTGCTGCTTCAGARAAGTGCAGCTACAAGGCAGCACAGAGAGTTGTACTGAAAACTGAGACTGGGACCATGTGAAATGGAAATTGAAATTACTAGGCTAGAGAAACACTAAATTTATTTTCACTTTCTGAGGCTCAAATATGAAACTTGGCAGCTCATGAAAGGATTTGCCAGGCAAATTTATGCTGATCACCAATGTGCAAGCAAATCCCATCCTTTTGGGAATCATCTGCACTATGGAGTGAGCACTGAATACTCTGTCTGCATACGCCTACTAGCTCTAACACATTCTGGATGTGCCAGACTTGTTGCACATGCACTGTTCAATTCCTTCACTGTGCAAGCAGGAAATCCAACCTGTTCCAAGCATGATTGGCTTACACTCATGCAGCACACATACATAGGAGCTGATGTTTCCTGTCAGAGTCAGAGCTTGTACTGTGCAGCCAGCCCATAATTGTGCAGTAAACACATTTGACGTTTTTGCACGTCTAAATCTTGTCAGAATTTCTGGTAAAAGGCTGCAGTCTTCACAGAAAGCCTATCCCTGGGATTTTGTGAAATACTGTTGTGCCTATCCAATACCAGTCAAAAAACTCTGCAAAACTATGAGAGACAGCCTACTCCTGTAAACTGAAAATGCACTTCCTACTGAAAAATATTTCTCAGCTGAGATCTTGGAACAGTATTCTGCTTTTTGGAGAGATGCCAAGCATATATTGCATGCAAAACCAATATCCAAAACCAGACGAGTTCCACAGCTGCTAAGATGCTGAAAAGCACTTGATCATTAATCCTGTCACACCCAGCCCAAAAATCAACTATTCCAATCTCTTCTACTAGTGTCCAAAATGGACAACATGACCTCTGTAAAAAAGGTGAGATGAAAAATCATAGCCTCAGTATGGTAGGCAGTAAGCATTTMAGAAAACCATTTAGGCAAAATATCTGACTTCAGGATTGTACTAATTTGATTGAGGAATTGAACAAGAATTAATTATACAGCTAATCTTGGAAAAGTAAAATGAGGTGTGCATTTAACTTCATTCTAGGAAGCCTAAATGTTAGAAATGCAATTTTAGTTTGTTCAAGCTGTTAAACATAGGATTTGATCACAGGTATCAGGGGACAAAACTTGCTACATTCCTATGGTCTGTTTTACTATGATGTCCCTAGTAGTTTTACCATATGCTCATTTCACTCAACACGAACAGTTTTGAAAATATGAACGTGTTCTACTAAGCTTCAGTTTTATAAATATGAGACCAAGCATGCAGGATTGCAGCTAGTGAAGTCATAGGAGCAGATGATCTATGGGYGCACGCACCTCAAGGTTTTCTTTGCCAATATGTGCATTAAAATCTTGGACTTGAATTACATTATAGAATTACTAAATCTTGGGACAGAGCTATAAAACTTGTCTCTACTGTCTCACTGAGCATCATCATTAGGTGAACAGTCAACAACARAGCAAAAAGGACTGATCTACCTTCAAGTCAGGTAACATTTCCTTAATGATTTTAATCAACTTCCCCTACAGTTTTTACTCACATAGGAGAAATAGCTTCTTTATATCATTTTCCTCTAACAAAAATAAAGCTGATTCTATTTTATGATCAACTCAAGAAGGGCTCAATAGGCAGCCTGTAGGTAGTCTTACATGGGCAAACATACACAGCCATGCTCTTACTTCATTTAGAAAGCTGAAGCAAATTGCTTGATTTTATATCAAGTGCTGCTGCTTTTGAGGATAACATAAAAGAAAATTTCTTCACTACTTTTCTGGTTTAATTTTTRTTTTTTAATTTGGGTCCCCATAAGATATAAGATCTTATATAATCTAATATAAAAGTGTGATATTCCTATTCTTGTGCCTTACAGGACAAGAATCAGATAAGTGAGATAAAAATATCACCTTGGTTCATCCACTTCTCCTGAGAACACACCTGCTGTTCTCCATTTCAGTCACAAACTCTTCCAGGTCAAAACTGAAATCATTACTAGAGAGACCAGAATGATGAAGACATTGCCAGTTTTTAATGCAGCCGTACCAAGTTACTGTCAATCAGTGACTRTAATTAAAAAGACCCCATAGAACGCTAAAGAAATATTAAGAACAATTATCTTGTGTCCAATTGGAACGTTAGACCTCTAGACAGAAGGGTTCATTCCTTCCAGCCTGCCAACATTTTAGTAAATGACACTGGCCCTTTAACAGATGGGATACATGCTTCTTAGCTTGCCAGAATCCTAATAAAAGACACCGGCTTCTTTAAAATGAAGGACACATACCTCTCAAATTGCCAGTATCCAAACTGGGAGTCAGCAGTTTAATATAAAGGCACTCATCAATGTGGCAGAATCAAGGACACACACAGAAATTTTAAAACAAATGGTACAAAGTTTCTCCTGACACAACTTAGATGAACTAAATACCTAAGCACTGGCTAAGGATATCCAGTAGCAGCACTGTAGTAACTGGATACCTTGCTAGCTTTTAAAATAGTAAAAATTAGCAGCAGACTTCAAGGGTTTGGATTGACTTTTTTCCCCCATCAGCTACCCATTAGCTACGACTTATAGGGCTGACCACACAGTGCATGACTCAAATGTAAGCAGGGTGTCTTTTCCCTGGGTACTGACCAGCACCACAAAGGTTGACCTGTGTGGAACCACTATGTCTGCCMAAAAAGAACCATGTCTGCTTCCATTTCCTCTCCCAGGTGCAGGATGTTCCAGTGAAGGAGAGACATCTCTTAAAGTTTTCTCCTTGCAGTGACAACACGTGTAACTACAGCTTGTTTTACAGCAACAGCAAACACTTCTTGAGAGCCAGAAACGAAGGGCTCTTTAGCTCTTCTGATAGCAGCCATCAGAGGGAAACAAAGAYCTTTTTCAGCATGTGAAGTACATCTGGATGAGTTGAGGAAAGRGAAAGTGGAGTTTTCTGAACCTTGTTGACACTGATGAACTGTTTCTGGCTTCTGAAGCATAGATATGGGGGAAAGCAAAAAATACTAAATTCTCTTCATCTGGGAAGATAAAGAATTTGCTAAGACTGGGCATAGGAAAGTGTATTTTATGAACAGGACAGACTCCCAGGGCCTTACCTCAGAGATACATGAACTTCTAGCTGACAAACACCCATCTTCTTGCCTTGCCCCTCTTGCCCACCCCACTGCTGGCAGATTCCTGCCTCTGCAGACTGATTTTAACAATCTGAACCTGCCTTCATCCAGGTGTTTCCTTGGCATAGCCAACATTTGTTGCATACATATTACTGCAACATGTGGCTTACCAGCAAACACTGTGCAGAAAAGAACACACYTAAGTACAAAAACTACCATTTGATGGCACAGCCAGGTGAAGCCAAAGASGTCTGAAGTGCTGGAAAACAATGGCAGAAGCTGTCAGGAGAGAAGGGAAGAGATTCTTGCTGTAGAGAAGMAGAGGAGRAAATTACTAAGTCAGCTGGCCTTGRCAATGGGMAGAGGTGGTACAGGTTTTGAAGGAATTGATCTTCACCAGCTAAAGCAGAAATTGGGATTTGAAGTGCACAGAARGTGCAGGAGAACAACAAGTTCCTGTCACGTAGCAACTCTGACGCGGCCAGGACTGGTCCAATGCCCTGGGTTGCCTGGACCTGACTGCAGTGGGCATTGTCTGGGACAGGCTGGGTGGCTGTTCCTTCAGGAAACCCCTTGCTCTGAGGTTTTTCACTCGATGAACAAAGATGCTGCTGCCATTTACTCACCTTTCACGTTCATCTTTCATTTTCTCCAGCTCCTCCTCCTTAASCAYGCCTTGCTTTGGAGTCCCCTTCTGRTCTGCCTTCCCACTTTTATCTTCTTTCTTCTTTCCAAACCTGTTAAACRTATCAAGGAAGGAGTCATAAGGAAATAATTACAGAAGAAAAAACAGTACTTATCTATCATAAACCACAGAAATTTTAGGCAATCAAAAMACTGAGTTTTTATCTCAGTGGCTCMTAAGTTTCCCACATTGCAAGATAAGTTACCAGTGTTACCTGGGCCTTATACAAGAGGAAGGACTGGTTACAAATTGATTTGGACCCTGTACTTTAGAAAGCTATTGCTTGAAAGCTATTGCTTGAAACAAAATTGAAAAGYCCTACCAAACCTGAAATGCAGGGCATTGCAGAGCTGGAATATTAATATGGCACATTTTAAAGTGGCTGAAGGTTCCTCTTGCCAGATCGCTCTCTGAAAATCATCTGCAGTGGCCRCASTATCAGCACCCAGACTGGCCACTGYTCTGCTCTTACCWGTAACTACTGTCTCTCCTTCACTGCACCCTAATTTTAGGATTTGTTCTTTGCTTAAATGAGGAGGCAATCAGAAAGAATAAAATCTGTCTTTCTTCCAAAAGTACAAACCTAGACAGTTCATAAGAGCTCCTTTTTAAACGTCTGAGCTTTTCTTTCTGCCTAGTAACATACTATCATGTAATATTTATGCTGTGAAAGTCCTCCAGAGGCCCCCATGGGTTTGGGGCTTCCACTGTTGTTTTATACACTGTACAAAWATGCATAACAAGGCTGCTTTAGGCAGTCTATAAAAGGTGGCTGAACTGGGAGCTAYATTTAATTTCTGGTGGAGTTAGACAGAATACTAGGGTCAAACATGCTCATGAATTATGGACTAAAAAATTAAAAAATCTCCCCTCTTCTTCACCAATTTGAAATCCTCAGTTCCACAYAGTAAATGGTCAACCTGTGTCTTCCCCTGCAAATTAATGAGTCCTTATATGCATGACAACAATGTAAAGAAAAGTAATTACTTTTTCACTAGATAGACTATGTTGCAAACTAATTACTCTGACTCGAACCTGCAAATTCTTCTGTGAAAATCTGCAGCATTGCCTTGGTGATCTCTTTTTACCATTTYTATTTTACATGTCAGTCCCAATCTGCCTCAAGTGGAACAGCTGAACTACTGTGCCTATACATAACTGTAAATCATTGATTTTATGTTTCTCCACTGACAAAAGCAAAAATTTTGCAGATAGTCAGACTCATAAGATGATGGTCCAATTTTTTTTGTGAATTTAATTAATAATTTTGAGCTTGTGGTCCARTGAAGTTACTGGAAACTCTGCAGCAAGTTTTCCAGACAGTAAGAACTTTGTTAGAAAKGGAATGATGGATGTGACAGACAGACACATAGCATGTGGTACTAATGAAAAAGGCAAATGCTACAGGCATAAAGCACAGGAGGTCCTTTATTGTGGCTCTGTCATGGACTGTACTGGGGACCAGAAAAGTCCTATAAGTGCATGGTTTTCTCTTATTTCCCGTGTATCACAATAGGGATAGATGGTATCTTGCATTCTTTGAGGGATCCTWTGCTCAAAATACACACATACCTTGTTTACAATCAACCTTCAGTTATTTTTTCATGGTCCCTACTCATTTCAACACTTCCAGAAGTACAGTATATACTTTCCACACTTTTCCTTTTGCTGGGTGTAGAGCAGCACACTGATTTCACTCTACTTTCTGACTTCCAGCACACACCCCATCAGAAGRTGGGGGTGGCAGTGAAGGCAGCAGTCAGGAAACAAGAGAGAGAGACAAGAGTGAGGAAAAACAAAGYAAGGAGGGTGCACAGGTATGAAATGACCCAGGTGGAAAAAAAAGCCAGATGAAACTCTGCTATATATATTTCCCTCTACAGAAATGCCAGGCAGCCAAACAAGAAATCACTTGGGTATGAGCACCAGCAGGCTGCTCCTGAAACATCCAGCCCTGCTTTCTGACACTTGCTCATGCTGGGAAGGTCTCATGGCAGTTTTCTCAAGAGGCCATATTAGCACTTGCATTTTGGTTATAATCCAGCTCTGGTACTTGGTTTATATTCAGGCTGCCTGCTTTTCTCCCCCAGTTTCAATTATAGGTTTGTGGAGTTTCATATTTGACTGTAGCATRTATTTATTTTGAAAACATTATTCTTGGGAATTTTGTTGCTGCAGGGAGTTGAAGTTGGATATGTCGTACACTCGAGAGAAAAGTAAAAAAAAAACCAACAGTCTTTAACATGCATCCCTTTCAAGTCTAGATATTATTYCTTGCTTACTTGAGAAATACATTTTAAATAAAATAAAGTGACGATTTTGATTGCAATAATGACAAATCTTAGGAAAAACAGTGCTGTTTGCTGGTAGAGCTACTCTTGTCATCCATTTGCCAAGTTTCTGTGTAATTATAAACTGGGAACAATGAGTTTGTCTTCCTGAAAACAGCTTTTGTTGTTGTGCCACATTAAAGGCAGYGTGGCTAGMAGGTTAAGGGAGKTGATTTTGCCCCTAMATTCTGCTCTCAMGGRACCCCATCTTGAGTGCTGCATCCMRCTCTGGGGTCCTCCAACACAMAAAAGACATGGACCTGTTGGRGTSCAGRGGACACAAAGGGGTGAGAGGGCTGTAGCACCTCTYCTRTCATGRAAGGCTGAGAGAGATGGGGTTGTTCAGCCTGGAGAAGGCTCCAGAGAGAACTTAKAGCACCTTCCAGTATCTAAAGGGGGCTACAAAAGAGATGGAAAGGGACCTTTCACAGGGGCAACAAGTGGAGGACAYAGAGGGATGGCTTTCAAGAGAAAGGGGGTAGGATTAGATTGGATATTAGGAAGAAATTCCTCACTGTGAGGGTGGTGAGGCACTGGCATAGGTAGCCCAGAGAAGGTGTGGGTGCCCCATTTCTGGAGGTGTTCAAGGTCAGGTTGGATGGGGCTCTGAGCAACATGGGACAGTGGAAAGGTGTCCCTGCCCATGGCAGCAGGGTGAAACTGGGTGATCTTGAAGGTCCCTTCCAACTCAACCATTGTGTTACTCTATGACTATTCTTTGCTTCAGATATGTTTTGTGCAGGCTTACAGTTTTGACCATCTTACTAAGTATGCAGCATATAGCTCAAGGCTAGGGAAAGATTCAGATGTTGGGGTTTTTTTTTGCCTCTTCTGCACATTGCTATACCATAAAAATCCATTCTCTTATTATTACTGTTTTTCATTCCATTCTCTTATTATTATGGTTTTCAGCTTAACAAAAATCTTGCACAAATATTAGAAAATAAAAGCAGAAAAAAAATTAACACTGTTAAGAAAAGCAATATACACAGACAGCATTAAACCACAAAGAACCCAGTATCATCTCTGCCTGAATTTATACACTCTGTCCTAAAATTTATGGTCTGCYCACTGCTGTGTTCCAATTGCTTCTGATGATAAAATTAACTTCCAGCCATTGTAATTTTGCATGGGTTTGTGCACTAGGCTTAACAGTCTCTACTGCTTATTGGAATAAAAAAAAAAAAAGGTAGTAAGAGTGCCTGCTGCATGATCAAACTAGGTTTGATYATATTATCATTGATATCAGTATAACACCCTCTACTGATTTCAACAAAAMCAGGATAAAATCGATTGTCAAATTATACTATGGAATTAATCAAATCCATATTAAAATTCTATGAAAACTGAATGGCTTTAGGATTTGAAAATGCCAATTCTCCAGGCAACGAATTATTGGACTGTGGTAAAAATCTGCCTTCTATATTAATACTATTGTCAGCAGAATAAAAACATTAATGAAAAATTGTATGGTGCACAAATATTTAAAATGTCTCTTTTGCTATACTAYGCACAGTCAATTTCTCTTAATATCTAATGGATTTATTACTCTGAAAACCKTTTATGAAAAATGGAGAAATACAACTTGAAGACCTGAAAACAAATGGATCAGCTGTATCTTCTCATTCTATAGCCACCTATAATCAATTTATGTCATATGAAGCCACTGGTCATTGTAATGACAGTAAGAAAATAAATCCATGCTTTCCCAGGTTGAGTGAGTGCCCCAGTTCTTTGATTATCCACTGTAAATACCTGGGAAGCACTGTCAAAGACATTACAGCCCTATTAACCTYAGTATATTTTTCAGCTGGGAAAGTTAATATTCCAACTACTCAGAGCATAGCTCTCCTGTAAATAAAAACATAAAGGGATTTKCTTTATGTGAACAGATCTTTGAGCACTTTGTGCTTTTGGGATAAGCCATATGCGACTGTTGAAAATACGCTGTGTGAGAGTAAGGCATTATCCCATTTCTATTAATTTCAAAGGGTGCCCCACAAACAACTGCAATTGTTCCCCTTAGAAACATTAAGGAAATAAATCTCTGAATACCAAATGTATGCTGTCTTGCAGTATTTATTGCAATTCTATTGGCTATAGCATTAAAACATATATATGCTTCTTTCCAAGGATTCTAAGGGATAAAAATGAAAACAATACTACAGCCTTACTCTATTATTACTGGGATAAATGTCTTGCACGCAAGACTGAAARCTGTGGTCATGGCAACACTTCCCTTCTGTGTGGAGCTGTGGGCTTCCAGATCTCAAATGTGTTGATATTTGCTTCAAGGATTAAAAAGCAGGCAGGTCTATAAAGTCCCAAACTTCTAAGCAGCAGAAACATTTGGTGGGTGGAACCTCCAAGCAGCTCACTGACTAAATTTAGCAATTTGGATTTCTTAGCTAATTCAGCTGCCCAGGATCAGGAGRTTCCACTGCAGCTAACAAGGTACATAACCAAAGTACAAACATCTGGGGGAAAATAATTCAAGAGAGTCTATGACACAGTCAAGCAAGATACAAAGCCTGACACTGTCAGAAAATCTTGACATCTCCAGAAATGATCTGTAAGAAACCAGAGTGAYTTGCAAAGTACATATAACAAAAGCTCTGACTCTTAGTCATTTCACAGTAAATGGAGAAAAATGCTGAGATTATTAAAGCAGGTCCCTTATGAAAGACTAGAAATAACTCTTAAAATTAAATTTAAATGTGAG